AATAAGTAAGAAATTTGTTATAGCATATTTCCAAATCATAGGAGTTGGATGATATTGGTAATGATTTGGGTAAATGTTCTTCTGTAGTTGCACTTGCTGTTTTAAGCTCAGTTCTTACAGCTGCGAAGGGTTCCATAGTCTGCCATATACGTTTGGTCTGACCGTCTGTATGGTCCTCTGTATAAAAAATGTATATATTAATAATAATAACTTACAATAATCTATAAGAACAATTCCTTTTAAAAATTAATTATTACGCAATTTCTTCTAAATTTCTTAAAGGATGAATTCTCAAATTTTAGAATTGTTATTGCTTTTTAATGATTTGATTAATTTTTTGGCAATTTTTTTTTTGAAATTCATCAGCCAGTAACTTTTCTTGATAAATATAATTAGCTTCATATGATTTTTATAAGCATTGAATTCGGATTCCAAATTTATACTTAATAAAAAAGTTTCTTGAATAAAGCATATTCATCTGGATGCAATTTGCTAAAAACTTGATTCATAAACATATAGATACTCATTGATCCATTCATCTGTACAAAAAAAAAAAAATCAAAAATTAAATATTCAATATGTTAAATGGCAAAATTCAAAATTTTGCAACTTGACCTACAGTTCGATGTGTTTGTGGATATGCATGTCTGTTATAACATAAAATAATTTTGAATGGAGTGTTGAATGGTGTCCAGAGTGTGTCATTCAACATGTAAATTGTGTTGTAAAATTCGAAATTTTTAATTTTTTACTTTAAGAGACATAATAAATTTTTTTTTAAAAAGCAATGTTATGATTCAACAGAAATTTTACTATGTGTTATGCACCATTGTTTAAAGTTTCTTGCCTACTTGATCTAGGTACAAATTTTTGGTTCGTTATAGTCATTTAATAGCACATTGTAATTGCTTGATATAATATTGAAAAGAATATAAAGGATAGAAAAGTTTTCAGGCACAATTTCAAGAAAACTACCTTACTAGTAGTCTTTTATTGACTATTGCACTAGAGTATGATTGATTAATATCATAGTGAAATGATTGTGGAATCATGTTATAATAAAACAAAAGATATTAAAAATCAATTGTCGACTTATATTCTAATATAAACAGCAGTAAAAGCATTTTCATTAAGTTACTGAATAGTTTGACTATACTAACTTTAGCTTGACTTGGGTGTAGTATATTGTTTTTTCATTCAGAAACATAAAAAATTTTGAGTTTTTCATTCTAAACATAAAAAATTTTGGGTTTATTCTTAATAAAGGTCTTTAACTTAACTTGGATGTAGTATATTATTTTTCTCCTTTAGAAACGTAAAAAATTTTGGGTTTTTCATTCTGAAACATAAAAAATTTTGTGTTTATTCTTAATAAAGGTCTTTAACTTAACTTGGGTGTAGTATATTGTTTTTTTCATTCAGCAATGTAAAAAATTTTGGGTTTTCATTCTGAAACGTAAAAAATTTTAGGTTTATTCTTAATAAAGGTTTTTATTTCAATTCTATTATAAGTATAAATTGTTACATTGAGTTTGTAATTTCAGCAAACAAACCATTATAGGCTTCTTAATATATAAAGAATAAAGTATAGTTTATTATTAAAGAGATTACAATTAGAAATAGAATCAGCTCAATCGATTAAAAATTTAGTTAAATTTTCAAAAAGCTAAGAATTATATATATGCATTATTGGTAGTACAAATCTAATAAAGAATTTTGAATGAAAAAATCTGGTGTAACAAATATAAATACCAGTATAATACCTGTATTTTAACTGTAGACTTTCAAACATTATCTAAGATTTTTTATCCAATCATAATTTTAACACTATTATTAGATTTTAGTCTAACCTGCAATATTTATAAGTATATAATGTACAAGTATTCTGAACCGAGCTGTGATAGATACTTTAGTCATTGTTCTTCTTATCGCAACCATATAAAAACTCACAATAATATAATTGAAAACCTTCTTCAAGAAGCTACTATAGAAAAGAGAAGTAATATACTAAGAAATGTGTAGTAAGCTAATCAATGGGATGATGATCAACTAGAAGATGAAATTGGTGGTTTTGTATTAGGTTTTAGAGAAGAAATAGAAAATATTGAACCAGGATTTGGAGACCATATAGATTATGAGATAGATGAAATAACAAATGGTTTACAGTCTGATTATAGCGAAGAAAAAATGACAGAATTAATGAAATAGATAATGAAATGGACGATGAAGCAGATGATAAAAATAATGAAATTTTGAAGAAGATGAAGCAGAATTTGATGAAATAGATGAAATAGAAGAGGTATATATTGTATGTAATACATATGACTATCTATTAGAGTTGTGGGTGAAGCTAAGTTTAAGAGTTTGAGCTTACTATAGTTTCAACTTGCTATAGTTTCAGCCTATTAAGTTTCACCGTATTCAACAAATTTTTACCAGTTTCACTGCAACTTCAGCAAGTTTCGCCCACAACTCTAATATGTATATATATGTATATATATATTGTTGTATATATTAAAATATTTTTAAGAGCTCAATATTGATGTAATACAAACAATTATATTTTTACACATACATACATATATATATAGATGAATATTGTAGAATGTCAATTGTTTGAGGTAGAACCTTCATTAGTTTTTGATTCTCTAGATATTAGATCAATAAACACTGAGAATATATCAAATTTTCCAAGTGAAGAATTTGGTGACTTTATGAAATTAGTTATCAAATGGAACTTGTCTGATACATGTGATGGTGAAATACTTTGTTTTTTAAACAAAGTATTATATGACGATATAATCTTATCTACCTTAATTCAATAAGGGAAGCAGTTTTTAGATAAAATTATTGTACTGCATATTTCTTTTAAGAAAATACCAATAATGGAATATAAAGAAGACATATACTATTTAAATTACTATCCAAAATTCAGACAGAAGGAAAAAACTTTCTCTTTCTCTTCACCACCGAATAGTGGAGAGTATAGAAAAAACACAATGACAAACAAAACTAGATACTCGACTTTTAAACTATTATCAAAGGTTAGGGCCCTTGTATCCAGGAAACGTAAGCAAGTGTGCTTAAACATGTCAAGTTCTACAGCAACAGGACAGAACAGGAAAATTAAAAAGGCCAGAACTTCTAACACCAAAGAAAACAACACTAACTATGACCCAAAGGGGCATAATGAGGCAGTAAAGCTTGTTGAAACAAGTCAATATTTGGACCAAAGCATAACAAATGACTCCTACAATAAGGAAAATTTA